TAAGAAAGCAGTAGAGAGGCTTAAAAGCGTTTTAAGGTGGTTTCAATAGAATATCATACCGTAAGAGATTCAGGTAGTATGTAAAATAAATAATTAGACACAATTCTCTTGTGCATGGTGACTATAAAAGGAAAAGTTTCCAGCTGCATAACTGGAGATCAATTAATTAATGACTCGTGAGATCTATTTCCCCGTAAATAGGTTCTCCCCTGTCTATTTTGTTGGAATGTGAGGCTTCCGGACAAATCAAAAATACCATAAGCCCAGAGGCTTAAGCGCCCTATAAGATTGTCTTTTTTCGAGTTCATTTGACAACAAAGAGCTGGTGATTTCTAAGGCCGTGGAGCTCTAGAAAACACCTAAAGTCGGCGCTAAAGGCAACGGTACTGAATTCGGCAGGCTATCGAGTTATAATAACCGATTCACTTCTTCAAGACCCTCATTTCCTCCTCCACATGGTAAGGGAACCTTAATGTCACATAATAAGAATCTTAGCAGCTTCTCATCGATTATTTAAGAACTCTAAGGTAATACTGTAGAATATTCTGACTGAAACCCGTAATCATTGAGAGCTATGATCAGTCATATGAGATCTTACGTCTATTCGTAACCTCCTTTTCCTGTCACTAAGGTTCTGGGAAAAGGTCGTAAGTGTTCTCACTGAGAGACCCTTACTATGGTGCTCTCTGTACAATTCTATTGGTTTCCTTGACGACTATCATGAAGAGGTTCCCAAGAATTCACTGATCTCTTCACATCGCAGAAAAAATTTCTCAAGTCTTGATATCTTACGTCAATTAAACTGAAATACTATGCAAGACACAGTATCACACTCCAAAAACAAATCAAAAATACCAAAAAATAGACAAGTGTATTTACACACATAAGTCCCCACATAGCCGATTCGCATTCAAGTGGAAATAAATAAATCCAAATCATATCATTTTTATAAGTGAAATTCAATAGAAGCACCAAAAGACATGGGCTCCTCAGCGCGGGGGACTGCAGGCTCCATACTTCATAGAAATACATACAAACAATCATGCCTGACACTCGCCGGCGCGTCTCCCTTGACCAACTCACACTTAGATGCAGCAGCAAGTATTCGAGCGCAGCTTTAATAGCCAAGCTCTGTACACTGTTGAGCTGCCAGTTGTGGCTACCTAATAATGCCTTTGGGGCGCAATTCAAATAGTGAAAAGAAAACAAAAAAGTGTTGGAATTAACAGGAATAAAAAAGCGGAGAAAAAACATTAATCACTAAAAGGCCAGCAATGCAGGGCAAACATACTGACACTTATTTAGATACATGCCATGTGCAACAACTGTTGTTTATATGAGCGTATGATGGCAGCGCATGCGCACACGCCACTCACTTTAGATTAGAAATGATCAGCTGACGTGTGGGGATACCGGCTGCAGTCTCCTGGCTCTCCCAGCCGTTGCTGTGCACAGACGTCCCACCGCTGCAAACGGTTGGTCACCTGGTGGTTAACACCAATGATTGCCCGTCGCCTATCTGTGTGTCTGTCCGCTGTCCCTGCCGTAGGTGAGAAGCGAGCACACTTAATAAGAACTGACACTTTGTGGGACAGACACATTCATAGATTTGTTTTTGAGCTCATAATGTTTTGCCGGTGCAATTGTCGTGCGTCACTTGTCATTAGCATGTGAGATGGACAAAGTATTTGGTTGGACAGAAAATATTCTTTGACAAGCTTAAGTTGAGGTGTGACTGAGTTCTGCTTAGAAGGATGTTAGCGTGGGATGGACAGCTCATTTTCATTGGAAAGTGATAACGTCAGACTACAGAAATGATAATGCGCAGAGTCAATTTGCTTGACTTCGACGGGGTCTGATTATAAGAATCTCTTCTTTGAAAAAACCGAAGAAGCTTTTCGATCCTCCTTCCTATTAGGAATTGGAGTTTTTGGCACTGGTTTCCTGCTTGCCCGTATCTCTGTCAATGTAAGTGGACTTATAATCCCATAACCTGGAAAAACTCTTTAATTGCGGTCATCGCGAGAACAACCTTACATTTACCTGAAAGAAGAAGAGTGTGAGAGCGTGGATAGGGTTTTCAGATCTCAAGCACATTATTCTTGGGAAAGAGTTTTTCATATCGGAAGTTTATTGCCAGTCTTTTGATCCCATAAACGTGATTGAGAATCTTGGAAAACAGAGTTTGTAAGGCGTTCTTAGCAGAATATCACTTCGGCTGATTCAATGGAAAAAATTATATGACACTACGATTTACGAACCCAACCAGACCTTTTCTGGTTGGAGAGGCGATCGGTTTCCATTGTGGATGAATTTAATTTTGTACTGCAGCATTGCAGAGGGAGAAAAACTTCTTATATTTAGTGAAGATCTGGTTAGAGCTTACGCTCCCCAAACGGTTTTCCCAACAACCCGACGTCGGACAATCACTATTCGCTAAGACTTCGATAAACGAATGGTTCAGTCTGCTTTAATCGTGAGCGAGCGAGCGCTCAACATTCGTACTAACTTTCCGCGTCGCGTTCGTTCATGTTAATTGAGATATATTTCTCTGATAGTCGGAAGACCATTGAAAATGAATTTTATATGGAAAATGCATAAATTAACAATTAGAATATGTAAATATCGTAATTAATGCTTTCAACATCTCTCAGCGAATTCTCCACCCGCGTCACACCCAGCAAGCCAGCCCACAAAAACAGCAGGCTGGAATTTTTTCAATATTCTTTAGCACAAAAAAAAGCCAAAAAAAAAAAGAAATAGACGGGAATTATAAAAGGAGATAAAAATGCATTGCGCAGAATCCAAACACTTTCAGCTGCAGCGACCGAACGATGGCGGCGCAGATTTAAAATCAAGCGTGAGTTATGCGCACGCGCGCACCTGTGGCGCGGTTGCTTGGTATGTGCTGTAGCTCTGGGCCGCTTCGCGTTCAGTCTAAACGTCAACATTAAGCGCGTGTTTGACATGTCTTTGCGGCTGCGCTTACCGGTGCTCGGTCACAGCAAGAAGACAAGGAGACTGGTAGAGCATGAATACATACATACGTACATATAAACATACGAAGAGGTATGACTTTGGAGCATACTCATATCTGAAGTCAGGAGCCGCTGCTCAGGTACCAAGCGATTATGCATTTCAGTTGAATTTTTTTTTAAGATTTTCTTGTACAATATTTTGTATTTTTACTTTTATTTCATTGTTTCATTTGTGTTGCTGCCTTTGCTGCGCTGATGCATGTCTGTATGTATGCAAGGTTTGTATGTACTTTTTAATTGGATTAATCCATCCATCAAAATTGTGTACATTTAAATGCGATTGCATTAGTGTCATTTCTACGGCGGTGGACGCAGATTTAAACGAAAACTTNAATAAAATAAAATAAATTAAAATAAAATAAAATAAAATAAACTAAAATAAAATAAAATAAAATAAAATAAAATAAAATAAAATAAAAAAAAATAAAAAAATGAAAAAAAAAAATAAAACAAAATGAAATTAAACAAAATAAAATAAAACAATACAAAATAATGTATAATAAAAAATATATAAAATAAATTATACAAGATTAAATGAAATGAAATCCACTAAGCATAAATAAGAAAGAAACTAAATAAAACTTAATTAAAAAAGAAAATTCCGGAAAATGTCGCAAGAAATTATTTATATTTTACACATTTTTGATACGAACATTTTTATTAATATAAATTTGTATCAATATCTCTTGCTCGTATGGGGCTTCGTGATTATATTCTTTTGTTGCTATTTTAACCAGACTAATAAAAATAGCAATAAAATGTCTCACATTTTAAGATTTCCATAGCTAATGCCCATAACTAAACTAATATATTATTTAGAAATAAAAATCTTTTCAATCTTATCAAAGAAATGTAGACAAAAATATCAGTGAGATAAATTTAAATGAGGCTTATCTAAATTGTATACAGAATCAGGATTTATTTATGGGATGAACGTGTCTTTACCTAAAATTTTATATGTATATATAGGTATATGGTCACTGGATATACATACCATATATTATTTTAATACTTATATTTTTAATTTAAAAATCTAAAGAAAAATAATTTAAAAAATTAATAGTTTTTAAACAAAAATTTGGAAATTTATAAAAAACTTTGATTGAGACTGTTATTTACTACTTTTTTATAAAAACAGTGTGCTAGTTCAGCAAAACAGATTTTTTTTTTCAGAGAAGAAAAATAGGTAGTTTATAATATAGTGTTATTAACAAAAATCTTTGAAAGTGTTAATTGTTAATTGCAAGACAAACCGATTTAAACACTTGTCGCCAATTGAGTTTGTCAAATTAATTTGGATTATTAATATTTGCTTATTTACCTTTATATGCTGTAAAATTTGCTAACAGCAAGCAGACATATTAATTAATCAACTGTAGGTGTCGCACTACCAAATAAATGGTTAGCTTCGTTACAGTGACCGTTACTTAAGTGTTTAAGGTTTGTTTAGCTGTTTATATTGTGATGCGACAACAACTTGCTGTTATCTTGATAACGGTGCTTGTTGATAATTACATAAGTTACAATATTGAAAAATTATACTTGGTTTTTACTAAATTTTGGTTTTAAATTATTTTACTTTATTAAATATATTTATGTTTATTTTAAATATTGATTAAATTGTTTTTGTTATTTATTTAATATAATATAAATATATTATAATGTTATTCAATTTATTATTGATTTATTTTTTATTATTTAATGTAATATTTTTGTTTCGATTTATATACCTTATTTAATTTCTATATTTTTTCTAATTTTTTATTGTATTTTNAATATTTTTTTTATATATATAATATTTAATAAATTTTCCTTTGTTTTACATTAATTTGATTATTTAGTTTAATTTTAAATTTTCATTTGATTTTATTTTATTAATATTTATTTTACATCATTTGACATATTTTGTTATAATATAATTTGTTAATCTTTCTCTCTCCCACTCTCTCTCTCTTTTTGCAGGAGGGCTTCACCGATCCACCATCAACATCGTCCATCAGCCGCCTATTGCGAGGTAATGATCGTACCAGTGAAGATGGACGCAAGGATTATAGTATACACGGCATATTAGGTGGTAAGTCTCAACGCGCCGCAGTCCGCGTGTGGAATTCCGTAGTTCACCAGTTGTAGAATTAGAAAGTAAATTGACATACAAAAATGCAAAGTGGGTGCAACAAATCACAAAAAGTCATAAAATGAAGAAAAAACTCAAAAGCAAATAAGCATTTAATTAAAAACCAAAAGAACGCTCTTAACACACACACAAACCAACAAGCGCCGTCTAATTAAGCGAGTGGCTCACTACGGCAATGCAACTCTGATCCAATTAAGAGGGAATTGACGTACAAATTTCACTTTGCCTCACTAATGTGACACATTAGCGACAAATTAGTTGGTATTAAGCGGTAGTCGGAAGACTCAAAGAGAATTGTCGCCGCCAATAGTGCCGCCAGTTGGGCTACCTAATCAACGGTTGACAGTTAGTCACCCCGTCGTGCCACAAATACGGTAGTATTGGTACATATAAAGACGCATGAAGTTAGTTAGTCTGATACACTTGCTACACTCACTCGCTTGCTTGCCGGCTTGGAGCTGAAACTTTCTGCCTACTCATCTAACATGGCTTTGCCGCCGATCGATCGGCTTTCGATTTTCTACTTTTTAGTTAATTGTACAGGTTGAAAAGATTACCGAAAATTACAGATCATTTATTTGATAATTTTAAAATCATCATCAAATCATTTGTTGGTCTCAAATCAACAGACTCTTTTTTTGGTTCAATTTTATTTAGCGGCTTTTTCACTTTGATCGTCTTAGGCGCTGTGAGAGTGTGAGAGAGTGAGTGACTGATCTAACCAACTATGAACGTACAAATATGAGGTTGTACGTTCATTTCAACGTTCAAAGGCATTTGCTTTGCTTTGCATTTGTATGTGTTTTGGAGTTCACAACTTGAGTTCGATTTAGAAAATACAACAAATATGTATTACAAAAGATCGTCACTTTGATAACGATCTTGATATTAAGCTTGTTGTTTGACAGCAAGTAATAACAACGCCCAGGAGACCACGTAGCCGAAGAAGTGTTGTTGAAAGTCGATAATGTACGTTCATAAAAGAACAAGAGGAAATGTGTTGAGGATGACACCTGAAAATCAAAATCATTCCATGCTTTCGGCATCAAACGATCAGCGATCTTGCGGTGTGTAGACGTTTAATTTTCATTTTCTCTTTGCCCATTTATTTTTTCGTCAGATAAAGGAGGACTCTGTGTACCTTTTTCACTCATCACTGAAAGTAATAGCTAATAAGTTGAAAATTCTCACTAGACCAACAAGTTCTGTGGAGCACATTGAGAGGAAAGAAAAATTTCTTTATAGGGTGTCGCAAGACATATTTAATAAGTAATAATTTTTGAAGAGTGTTGCCACCTTCTGAGAGTTTATGTAATAGAAAATAATCTAATAGAAACTATTCTGGAATCAAACTGGAGATGATTCTATAGGTTGCCATTGAAAACTATACTTTTGATTAGTGTTGCCAGCTTTTAAAAATTCCTATGGTAAAAAAAATTATGAAATTTAAAAAACACTCGCATATACTAAAGAAGTATGTATACTAGGTTGGATGTAAATAAATATTTTTGAGGAGTGTTGCCACTTATTAAAAATGGTTTTGGTAAAAATGTATTAAACAAAAAATATTTTTGTGAACTGAATATGTTCATTAGGCTGACAGTGAAAAAGAAATATTTTTGAGCTGCCAGCTTATAAATATGTTTGTAGTAAGAATATTTAAGCCAAAAATCACAGGCTAGTGGTATTTTTAAGCTGAGCGCGAGTATTGAAATCTTTTGATATTTTTTTTATTGTAAAAGGTTGCAATGAGTCAAAAAAATCATGCTCAAAATAATATAAAATAAAAATATATACGTATACAATATAATTAATATTATCCAAAGGAGAAGTGTTGCCACCTTTAAGAAAAATATTTAGATAACTGCATTTTAACAATATGAGTATCAAATTGAAGAAAAACATAAATAATAATGAAATTGTGCTGGAATACACCGAAAGTGTTTCGAACACGTTTCTCAGAAAAACTATTTCCAGGGTGTTGCCAACTTCGGATTTTTTTTTTCAAATCCATAAAAATTGTAGGGTACCCAAATTACAACGATATGTCTATTGAAATTTAAGAAGTTCAAGATGGCTTCTGGGTTAAAATCTTTCAAAATAGTGTTGCCACCTTTTTAATTTTAATTATAAAAAAATTATAAATTATAAATAAATTATATTAGTAAATGAAAAAATATTAAAATTCTGTAAAAGATTTAGTTTGAAATTTCCCTCTAATCAGTTTATACAGTTTAAATCGTTTTAAAGTAGTGCTGCCACCTTCTAAAAGTTATTATTATTAATAAAATTATAAATAAAATCGTTTATTTAAACTGAAGTTGTTTATTAAACTGAGTTCCCAGAAATTTTTTTATAAATGTTACCATCTTTTAAAAAATATTCAATTCATTAAAAATGGGAATCATAAAAATATTATAATCATATTGAAAAAGTTCAGGAAAACAATGTATTTTAATTACCACTTATAAAGAAACCGTCAACCGAAAGGGCTTGAAATATCCGACAGTAAAAATAATTTTCACTAGGGTTGCCACTAGTTTTCAGGCAATCACTTCAATGAAATTAAATTTATATTCCAAATGTAAGCATCTTTATATTAATAAAAATCACTTACCTTCGCAAATGTAGAAAATTATCTAATTAACCAAACGAAACACCCTTCAAAGGCACCCGTGAACATTTGAACTGCATACATATCGAACGCCAAAGCCATCATTACACCAGCTAATCACTAAATATGCAAACTCACGCGATAAATGAGGCAATAAAGAGGAAATAAATATGTATTAGATATATAAAAATCAATACAAGACGAATAAAAACGAATAGCGAGAAGAAGTAGAACGAAAAATGTTCGGCGTAGACAAAGAGGAGGCGTTCTGGGTGCTGAAAAACTGAAACTGAGTAGAAAATTGTGTTCACAGACGAAAACAAAAAAAAAAAAATGAGCTCGTTTAAATAATTTGTTGAAAATTTATACAAATAAATATTTGGTAATAAAATTAATTATTTTAGTAGTTCAAAAATGGTTTAAAAATAGAAAATTTGTCAAATCGATTAAAGCAACAGGTCTTTTGGCTGTAAGAGAACTAGGAAAAAGTGCATGTAAGTGTAAGATCGGCTTAACCTTTGATCTCTTTTGGAAAATAGAAAACTTCCCACTTTCGGCTTAATATCAAAGGAAAAGAGCATAAAGAGAGTAGAGCCTCGTGTTTTTATTTTGATCTTTTTCATTGTCGACATGTCGAAAAATCAAACCAAATGAACCGCTTTGTGTATAAACAAATAAACAAGTGTCTCATTATATTTTTTTTTTTGCAAAATAAAAACAAAAAAAGAGCATAAGTGCAAATAACAAAAAACACATTGCAATGAGAAAACACCTGAAATCCACAGCTTCACACTGCCGACAGAGAAAGTTGACTCCAGGCTCAGCATTCATTGTTTATGCGTGTTTTGGATTGGCCTTCTCGCCTTGGCACACACACACGACAGGATAATGTCGCTGCTTGTCGTCCGTTCATTGAGGCCGCTGTGACAATGGGGCATGGCATAGAAATGTTAAAAAGTCAATGGGAGCAAAATATAATTGAAGTTATTGCCACATTTCCCGTAATGTTTATGACTCGACATTAATGAAATGTTTTGAAAACAAAAATCGCATTGTGGATTTTCTAAGGCTTGGCAGGACATTTTACGTCAGTATTTGAATGAGCGGCCTTTCTGATGTAGATATTTCAAAAAAACTTTTATAGTCAAGTGCGTTGGACGTAAACAAAATTTTTTGATTGATGAGTTTTTATTTGAGTAATCTCAGGAGTTAATAGGCTTACGGCCGAACAGTTTTTTTTTGAATTTTTCTTTGATCCCTGCTTGTTAATTTGGAGGATTATCCTTTGATTTTGAACGAAACTCAATAACTGCACCAAAAGCGGTCGTATAAATATGGTTAGTTCCCCTGTCAAAACGGGATTAGATCGACGGAAAAGTGATAACCTTTGGCCAGAGAAGCTCCTTCACATGAAAATCTGTTTTTATGTCGTAATAAACCAGATGTGTATCCGGGGAGGGAATTTCACTTTCACAACGTTCGCAAATACTTATTTGGTGAATATTTTTTAGGTTGCAACAGGACAAACAGCAACTCCGTCAACCGGTTATCAATTATGTTGCACCAACACAGACGTCGCGGACAATCAAATCACGGACAAAACGCAGCCACAAAACTTATCTAGAAAACAGAGCACAGTTATGGACCTGTCGATAAACCGCCATGGAAACCATAAAGGAAAACCTACCGACTCACCCAACATTCCTCTCTTATTGCTCCGAACTCGTCGAAAGAGATTTTTACCTCTTGTTATGTATTTTCGGTGAAAATAAACTATCTTAGCTTCCCATTAAACGGAGTTAATGAGACGTTATAGCAACAGAAACTGAAGCCAGACGTTTAATTGAGTTTTCAAGAGTGAGCAAGATGAGGAAAGAAAGGATTCACTCTCCTACACCGTAGACAAAATGATTCAAACGGTATGCCTTTTCTTATTTTATCATTCTTCAAATTAGTCTCTCAAAGAGGACCTTACTAAGAGACTTTGAGATCAGTCTGTCTAACGAAGTCAACTGATTCTGGCGACCTATTTGAATTTTGTCAGATCTTCTCGAAATTACATCTTCTTCCACTTTCTGGCTAAGCCCCTACTAAAATGGCGTAGAGAGTTGAAAAGAGCAAACTAGCGGATTCATGCATATCTAAAGCAGAATGTTTCTATATCGGTTCTCCAGCAAGTCTGAACGTCACAAGTAACACATGGCAAGCAGCATGATTTCAAATAAACTCAACTTAAACTCCATGAAGAGAATGTTTTCTAAGCATCTAAGACGACGGGTGCCGAGGCACAAATAAAGTTCAGGAAGACCACAAAATAAATAATTCC